ATGTGGGCGTGTAGAGGGTACAACCTGAGGCGGGACCTCGTGCGCAAACTCTGACGTGCGGCTGTGATCTATAAAGGAAAGATGCGCAGAAACGTGCGTACGTACGGTTTTATAAATCTGAATTTTTTTTGGCGTACGCCATTTCCGCCTTTTGGCCGTACGTTCACTTTTAGTATGGTTTCCACGCAATCCTTTATAAATGAGACCCCAGGTCTTGAAAGCAGCCTAACATGCATGTTTTTGGACTGTGGACAAAAACCCCACACAGAAACTCAGGACCTTTTTGTTGTGATTTCTCTCACAGATTGACCCCAAACTGAGTCAACAGCTAAAACATAAGTGTTAATGGTGACAGACTGGATCATTTCTGTTTCCCTGAATGGATATGAGTTACCTGGTTTGGAGACTATCTTCTGCAGCTGCTGGTCCAGATACTCCTGCCTCTGAGTGAGTGTGACCAACCACTGCTCCCTCATCCTCTCCAGGTCCACCTCCTACACACAGCAACACACTCTGCTCAGCTGGACACAAACCATCATTTTATTTAAATTACAGATTGTTGACTTATAAACTACTTACTTGATAGCTGTCCATTTCTTCATCCCCACCCTAAAGTTTATAACATAAATGGGGTAAAATTGTTAAAAACTCAAATTTTTGATTCATCAAAAGAGACAATCTGATCATTTTGAAGACGAGTTCTGTAGAAAAATAATAAACAATTAATAATTCTTGACTGTTGATTCAGATTTCAACTTTTTCTCTAAACTGAGTTTGTTCAAAGAGACACTAAAGGCCAGTAAGATGTCACATTTGTGAAAAATGTGCATAATTTTCCCACCAAACCCCACTTCAAAAAAGCTGGAACATCCCTTTAAAGCAAAATTGAAAGCGGGAGTATATAAACAAGTTGCGGTGGGGGGACTCACCAAATGTGGTTCATTTTTGGATGCTCGTGTCTGGCGAACCTTTATGTCCCCGATAGAAACAGAGAGGATGGAGGCTGTGATGAGGGGCATGGTGCCCGAGTCTGCCACGGAACGCACCTCCACCCGGATCCTACGAGACTGACCCTAATGTTCACAAAATTTACACAACAGTTACAGACTGATGCAGGAGTGACGGCAGGTGCAGTGAGGGGAAAAAATCAAAGGGGCAATAACTCAGGATGAAACTAGAGATCGACTCATACAAGTTTTTGAAGGCTGATACCAATTATTTTGCCAGCAGTCTAACCGATACGCCGATACGTGCAGCTGATTGTTTTTTTGGCCGATTCTTGAAGCCGATACTGCCTTTTTGTCCTCCATTAACATGATAAAAATGAGAATGATAAATATAACACAGGTTTCAATTTAAACAAACAAACAAAAAAAAAATTTTATTAACTGAGCCTTGTCTGGTGCAGGCTAAGTGAAATGCCTTTTTGTCCTCCATTAACATGATAAAAATGA